GTCAGTGTGCACAGACACTAGTTTTCTGTGCAGACAAAAAAGTGTCGGTGCGAACAAAATTGGTTTGCAAGTTCAGGGGGTTGGGAAACCTGTGTCGGTGTACATAGACATTAGTTGTTGGTGTAGAAAAAAAATCTGTATATATGCAATTTTCGTCGGTGTACACAGACATTAATTGTCTGTGTACAAACAAAAGTGTTTGTGCATACACAATATTCGTCGGTGTACACAGACACTGAAAGCAAATCAGTGTCGGTGTGCGTAAAATGTAAAAAAGAGAGAAGGAAAGAAAACCGACGAAAATTGTATATGTACAGACACTTTTTTCTACACAGACAACTAATGTCTGTGTACACCGACACTAGTTTCCCACCCCCCTGAACTTGCAAACCAACTCTGTTCGCACCGACACTTTTTTGCCTACACAAACAACTAGTGTCTGTGCACACCGACATTGGTTTGCGTGCAACCAGCTTGACAAATCTGCAAACTCACACCGACAGTTTAATCGAAAGTGTGTTTTTTTACGTTTTTTATCTGTGTGAAGGGCAAATAAATGAGGTGTAAACCAAGGTGTGCCTTAAGAAGTTTCCTTCAAACACATATTCAACGTGAAAAGCAATCCACTTCAAATAATAGAAACGTTATACTATAGCTAGATATTGAGGCGCTACAGAAAAATCATTAAATATCTTCGTGTAATTGAAGATAAGGATACCCAATACTCCATCTAACTTTCTTCATGAATAGCTATTTACTATAGTATTATTATTATAATATCATTATTTTTGCCCTATATCTTCATTCAATTGAAAACAGGAATCTGTAACTCATGTTTTCTACTTTTCCAGTTTTCCTCATGATCTTATACTCCTAATATTTCGTTACAGTGTCTCTCGTCTTTGATTTGGGAGTATGGAGACTATTTGATTGTTACAAGTCTTGTATGAAAGAACGGTTGAATAACGAGTCTTTAACTTTTATTATATCACCATAATTAAGAAAATTTAATTTTTAAGAAGGGATAAAGGTCAAAAATGACACCAAGCTTTTTAATGAAGATCAGATTGGACACTAAAGTTTTAAGTGGACCAAATAAACACAAATTTAAACCTTTTGAATCCATTTCAGCCACCCTTTACTGCTCCGTTATTTTGTTTTGGATTCCGCTAGAAAGCTCCCTCGGAAGATTAGCTATGGAACTCGCCTCATAACTCCTTGCTCTCAATCCTCCCAGCAGAAATCAGAACCGGTCGGTTCAGCTCTTCTTCTCCCAAGTGCAGCAAACGACACTCATCCTTGCCACCTCCTTCTGCTACTTCAAATCAAATCAACAGAAAAATGGATAGATCGAGCTCCTTCTTCTTCGACGGGAACATGGGTAACATGAGAAATCGATGGCTACCTTCCTTGAAATATTTGTCCGCCACTCAACAAAATACGTGGTGAGGGGCCAGCCTTTCAACAAAATTCAGGCTAATTTGGGGCCAGCCTTTCAACAAAATTCAGGCTAATTTATTAAAAATTGTCAAGAAAGAAAAATAGATATGGCGGATCCAATTTACCTTATGAAGGTCATGTTGGTGAAAAGGTTGGACGGCATTTGTTCTAGGCTGATCGATCTTCATCTGCCTTGAGTGTCCAATTTCTTTCTCTCCAACAAAGGGCACCATCAATCCGGCAAAGAACCAAGGACAACAACCCACTATTCTTCACAATGAACAAGCGTAGCCTGGGCATCTGGCGTAGCAAACGAACACCGATCCACTGATAATACCAATTGCCAACTTCTCTCTGCCGCTCATCACCGGAAGAAAACCACTGCACATCATTGTCAGAAATTGAATTAAACAGCAGCCCGGCCTCCCCCTTAATTTGATCCCAGTTCGCCGCTGAAACAGAGGGCTACCGTGCCTCTTTAGTTTTCTTACATTGGGGCTATGTTGTTTAACGGCTCGGAAGAGTTATCTAACGGAGATGTTAGAGGGTGGCTAAAATGGATTCAAAAGGTTTAAATTTGTGTTTATTTGGTCCACTTAAAACTTTAGTGTCAAATCCGAACTTCATAAAAAACTTTAGTGTCATTTTTGGACCTTTCCCCTTTTAAGAATGAATAGTTACTTTGTATCACTACGTGTTTTAGTAACAATCCCAATAAGATTTCTTTGTACATGCCACTTACAAACGCCTATGATCAAGTATTTTACTAATGTCCATAAGAAGATTTTTTGTCTCAATAATTCTTGTCCCAAATACTCCTACGGATATACTTCCTCCGTTCTTTAATTCTTGCAACATTCTGTATTTTGCACTATTCACAGATCTTACTTTGACCACGATTTTATACTAATATACACAATCAAATTATTACGTAGAAAATGCTATTGAATCCCTATCAATGTGAATTTCCAAAATATCAATTTTTTATAATGTTTAGTAATATGTAATTAGATATAATTACAGTCAAAGTTGTGCATTGACAAATGTGAAAGTCAAACTGTTGCAAGAATTAAAGAACGGATGATAGTATATGGTACCGCAAATTATACCATACAACGGGGTTTCTATACAACGGGGTTACCATACAACGGCCTTTAACTTAATTACGCATCATGCTCTTCCTCTCTAGTCCTTTTTTTTGCTTCTTATTACGTTAGTCACTCCCATGCCACCTCTTTCCTTTTTTTGCTATTTTTTCTTACCAAACTTTTTCATTAATATTAGTTTTAAAAAAATATGCAATATAAAATTTGACATGTGAATTTTAAAATATTTAAGGTATCTACTTTTAATTTCAACATTAATATTTATTAATTTAATAGTTTTTTGTTAATTATTTTAGTATTGTGTGTTAATTATTAACATGAATTATGTGTTACAATAAAATGAGTAAAGTGTTTTCTTCCAAAAAAAATGAGTTTAGTGTTTAAAATAAATGTGCATGAATAAATGGCCACGAGTATACTAAAAAGATCAGAATATGATTAATTTTCTAATTGAAGAACGATAAATTATAAATTATTTTGAAACTAATTTTTATTATATTTCTCATTTTTATATACCGGAGTATAGTGATAGTTTAGTCAATTGTTAATAATAAATCTATTATATGTTCATTTTATAGAAATGAGTTTTATGTTAGACTCAAACGGATATAACGATTAAAAGAAATGAACATGCACGAATGAAATTGAGCACATTAGAGATTTTAAATTATTTTTTTGAATATTTCGATTCTCAGTTTGTAATTTATGTCTACTAATTCTGTAATGATGTTATGCTCGATTTAAAATGTTATATCAATGGCGACGAAACTCACGATCAGATTGGATCTTGCTCACATAATTTCAATGCTCAATACGAAGTAGTAGAAAACACTGCACAATACTCAATGAAGATGTCTTGATGCTCAAATAAGTTTTTAAATTTTTATTTTGTTAATTGCAAAGTTTTGTTGCTCAATACACATTATTGTCTTGATCAATGTTCATTAATGCTCATTTAAAAGAAAATGTGGTTTCTATCTCAATAGAGAAATTTGATGCTCAATGAAAATGTTGTGATGTTAACTAACAAATTTTATCATTTTGTAAGTTACATATGCTCATTTGCTATCAATGTTATGATCATTTATAAAATGGCATATCAATGAACATTTCAAAAGTATCATTACGACATTAGTTTCGCATATTGAAATTCATAAGAATTGATTATAAATATAATTTAACAGGTCTGATGCTCATTAAAATTTCATTAAGGATGTTTTTACTAGGACTGTAATTTGTCCCAAACCAGACCAGACCAGACTTGGATAGTTATAAAAATACAAAGAAACCAGACCTTACCAGATCAGACCAGATCAGTTCAGACCAGACCAGACCAGCAAATTACAGTCCAAGTAAAAACATCCTAATACTCATTCAACAAAATTCGTGATTTTCATCTCAATAGCTGATATTTGATATTCAATGAAAATGTCGTAATGTTCAACTATCAAACCTTTCGATTTTCATATCAATGCGCACTTTGTAAGTTATGTATGTTCATTTAGTATTGACGTTATGTTCATTTTAAAATGTCATATCAATGCATATTTCGAAAGTATCATATTACATTATATTAGTATATTCAAATTCATAGGAGTGAATTATAGGTATAAATTAATAAGTTTTTATAAAAGAAAAAAAAAGAAAAAAATGAATTAGAAGGTATGAACCAGAGACCGTGATACTCATTGTTAGCGGTGGCTAATGGGAGCCGCTACCCCTCCATTTTTTTCTTCCATAGACATATTTACCCCAAAATTTTAATATATACAGAGTATGTATTTATATGTATTTTTTACACTTTCGTCTCGTTGATAAAAAATTCATTTGTTGCGGCTGATTGTTAGCCTGCTAACACTCAATATAATACGTGAAGTGCTCAATATAATCAATATAAATTTGATGGCCTATCTACTGATAGTCAGATAGCAGGCCTATCTGACCGATAGTTATTTGGCTCTTTGTTTGCTCACAAAAAGTGAGCACACCTCAAATGTTAGCCCATTCCCGTTCGTTCACCTCCGCACGCTCGCAGCTTTCACACTCTCGCTCTTGCAGACTTCTACCGACCACCTTCTCCATCTCACGCCGCATATCCCGTTGCGGGTGAGTTCATCTTCTTCTACTCGATATTTGTGTACACAAATTGTAAATAATGCTCATTTAGCAGAAAGATTTGTGAAGTTTTGTCACTTTTCAAATGAATTATCCGTGTACACAAACAAAAGGAGAATTTTGTATATATACACCCATGTACATGAGATTTGTCTTTAAAAATAGTTACATTTTTTTGAATACCCCGTAATTCTCTCCCGTACCTCGTACAGTACTACTAGGGAGATGTTCCAAAATTAGCCCAATAGGACTGATACATTCTACGGTTGTAATCGCCCACTTCTCCTGGTCCACCAGCCTTTTATCTCAGAGTATTATTTAAAAGTGTCCACTGTCCAGGTTCCTTCTCGGTTTTTGGTGAGGAGTTGCTGAACTTGGATCCGTCCATTGATCCAATCCTCTTTCTTTATGCCCAGATTTGTTTCATAGGAAAATACAAGTGACTGTGCGAGCGGCGATCAGGCTAAGTCCAAGGTATTCAGCTTTCTGTTAAAATGCTTTGTGTTGAATTGTAGAGCTTGAATTAAGTGGAGCATTTGAGTTCTGCACACTCTTTTGGCTGAAATCTGAAAGTTAATCTGAAATTCGTTTACAGCACTTGTCTGTAATTGAAATGTATTGCCATATACAGGGGCTGAACTAGAGGGGCGAGCTGAAAATTCTAAGGCATTTTGTTAGCAGGGGCAGAACCAGCCCGGGGGCTGGGGCTAGCCCGTGCCGGCGCCCCTTCATCGGAATTTTTAAGGTTGATGTACGCAGTTTTTACATGCCGCCCATGTAGCTCCAGTCTTCTAGCTTCACCTCTAGCTTATTTCCATGGCTGACTCTGTTCAGATTGACTTACCCATGAGCGGAGTACATTTTTTAGATTAGCCAAAGCTACGTTTGGCTATGATTTAATAAATCAGTTATCAGTTTGTAGCGACTTTATGCATTACACCCTTCCAGACTTTCAGCTGGCTATTAGCCTATAGCCTGCAAGTAATTTTTTTAAAATGTTGAGATTTTGTTGTTTAATTGTCCTTTTATGTGGTGTTTAGCTTAGATTTAAGATGAAGCGCCTATATTTTGATTAAGTGGTTTGATTGTTTTAACTTAGTTGTTTTACTTGTTCGTATAATTTAATAATGATTAAGAGTCTCTTAGATAACACTGAAATGGGTCCAATCAACTGAATCTACTGAAATTGATGAAATATTGGCCAAAGCGGTTGAATTGGCTGAATCTACTGAATTATGTAACAATTGTATTTCAAATATATGTTATTAATATAATAAAGAAAATATTCTATGAAGAAATAGCTTAAAGGGTCGTCCACAATAATTTCAACCAATTCCTCACTTAGATGCAATATGCATTTTGTCAATGAATTCTTGAGTTTTTGTTGACAAACGCAATCTGCTATATAGCTTTTAGGATTTCCACCATAATCGACTATTAATTAATGTGCTTACTTTAACAATATCTCATTAAATTAACGGGTTTGCTATAGGTTTATCTATAGCAAACATTCTGCAATGGCGACTTCTAGAGTGATGATATCGGCCAGCAACACTATCACAACCTCTGTACTTTCCAGAGGTCCATTAAGAAGGCATAATACTTTCAATCTCTGCTTCAAGAGTGTCCCTTCACAGAAGAGCCGGTTCCTCACTTGCAGTGCTATTTACAATCCTCAGTTTCAGATCAAAGAAGAAGGCCAACCTGAGACCATTGATTACCGTGTCTTCTTAGTGAACAATTCTGGAAAAAAGGTCAGCAAAACATTCCAGTTTCTAACCAAGTTTGGACTTTTTAATTGCTGTGATATTTTTGTGTTTCATTTAGTCTTTGTTTCCAAGATTGAGTTTTGGCATTACTATTTCATTTTCTATTGTTGATCTGTTGTGTAATAGAATGTCAAGAAACGGAATTGTCAAAAGTTGATATTATTGCTTAGAAGTGTAACATTATTATAGAATCCATCTGTTCCTCCCCCAGGATAAAAGTTCACGTTTAGCCAAGCTATGAATTTTCATTGTTAGCAAGGTAAAACTTTTACAAGTTGAACCCATACCTTACATAAAACAACTTGGTGGTATTTTGAACAAACTTTACCATTTAAAGTTGTTTGCTACTATGTTATAGCAACTTACTTGAAAAGTCATCTTCATTTGGCATGTTTGGGTGTTTATAGTTTTATACTGTTTATTTATGAAGGGTTTTGTGATTTCTTGCAATTTTAATTATCTGTAGGTGTCTCCATGGCATGATATACCACTACGCTCGGGTGATGATGTCTTCAACTTCATTGTTGAAATCCCTAAAGAAACAAGTGCAAAAATGGAGGTTGCCACTGATGAGCAACACACTCCAATCAAACAAGATATAAAAAAAGGGAAACTAAGATATTATCCGTAAGACTTCCCATATATTTGTTCAAGAACCTTCATGAATATGAAATAATGATAAGATAAAGCAAGATATGCCCAATTTTGGATAGGTTCAATATTCATTGGAATTATGGAATGCTTCCTCAAACATGGGAAGACCCTTCATTTGCAAACTCTGATGTTGAGGGGGCACTTGGAGATAATGACCCTGGTATTACATAATGTCGATGACAAATATTTCGCTACCCTAAAAGAAAATAAATAAATGTGTTACTAATATAGTTATTTTACTATGTGTACTAGTTGATGTTGTTGAGATTGGGGAAAGGAGCAGGAAAATTGGTGAGGTACTAAAAGTAAAGCCGGTAGCCGCTTTAGCAATGATTGATGAAGGAGAACTTGACTGGAAGATTGTTGCAATTTCACTAGATGACCCAAGAGCTTCTCTGGTTAATGATGTTGAGGATGTTGAAACCCATTTCCCGGTATGTTTAGCAACAATTAAATACGGAGTAGCATTTTTGCATATAAGTGTTATGAGTATTATTGTTTTCGTACTGACATGTGTAACGTGTAGAGTGTATAACTGTATACCAGTTTATTAGACTCTGTCTAATCATTGCCACTGATGGGTATAGCATCTATAAAGGTGTGTTTGCAGTTGCTTAAAATAAGCACTTTCCAGCTTTTAACTTAAAAAAAGCTAAAATGGGTGTTTGTCAAACCCAACTTCTAATTAAAAAAAAGCACTTTAAAGTCATAAATTAGAAGCTACCAGGGTGCTGCTTCTAACTGCTTTTATCAACTTCTTGGTATACTTGTAAATAATTAGAACTCCAAGGATAATTATAATGGTCAAATGTTTCTCCTAATCCCAAACTACCCTTCCTTTTTCGCAGACCTGCAATTTGCTTCATGCTTTACCTGCCCCAAATCCCCAATTCAGAAGCTTCCTTCGTGCTTCACTTGCCCCAATTCACGACCAGGACCACCCTCTTCCTCTTTTCATTTTTTTTTGTTCTAAAGAAATTAGCAGGCAGGCCATTAGAATGCATCATAGAACCCTGATTTAAACAAGTTTGAAGAACTAGCCGGTGCGGTCAGCGGCTTGGAAATTTGGAATGTGAATTGAAATAATAGATACGGATATCTTCGAAATTCAACCAGCTGGTGAAGCAAGATGGTATGTGAGAGAGTTGTCTTCTCTTCAAACTCACTCGTCGAACACACTGGAATGCTCTGATGAAAGAAAGATCCAAGAGAAGAAACACTGTAATTATGGAAGGATAGTTTTGTACTTCTACAATCTACTTCCAAAAAAATCACTTTTTTATCAAACACTCCAACTTTTACATTTTAATTAAAATCACTTCTATTCCCAAACACTATCAACTTTTACTACAAATCACTTTTCCTATAATCTCTTAAAAAATCACTTTTAAAAAGCACAAGCAATCGCAAACACTCCCTAAGTTTAGTGCCATTGACAAGTATTCCCTCCCAAAAAATGTGATCTTTGATAATTAAAAAAACTGTCCCATAAAAAATGACACTCGAACAAAATAAGCTAGTTGTTACAGAGTGTTATATTTGATGTATTTTTTCAAAATAATGTGTTCCAAACAAGTTAAATATGTTTAACTTAGTTAGAGAAATAAATTTTAAAACTAGCTCAAGCATTAATGATGTCCAATAGTTGTACCTTACTCATGCTAGAGTTGTGCCTCGGTGAAACGTGGGTTTTTTGGCGACACAGGGAGTAGTTTATTTGATATTTATAGTTTGTGTGATAACCATGTTTCTTTTGTGCTTTTGATATTTCTTTTCAGGGCACACTTGTGGCTATCAGGGAATGGTTTAGGGACTACAAGATCCCTGATGGAAAACCGGCTAACAGATTTGGCCTTGGAAATAAAGCTGCAAATAAGGTATACATGCTTCACCAGACAAACTTGGTAACAATTTTGGGTGGTCTTCAAAACAAAATGTGATTTGCAAGTGGTTTTTTACTTTTTAAGCTAATGAGCTTTGTGTGCGTGTCATGACAGGACTATGCGCTGAAGGTGATTAAAGAAACCAATGAATCTTGGGCCAAGCTTGTCAAAAGATCTGTTCCAGCTGGTGAGCTTTCACTTCTATAATACCTTGCTGCAGGTCTAATACCTATTTAAAAGCAGGAACCTTGCTAATGTTCAAGCCATGTCCAACCAATCCTTGTTCGGAATTTTTGTCTAAGATTCATTTATCATTCGATTTCTGAGAGAAACTCGATTCTTGTAATTCATACATGAATTTTGTTTTACTTGCAATAAAGTTCTTCCTTGATGCAAAACATATCTTTCATTCTATTTAGTATGTATCATCCAAGAAGTATTTCCTAGCTAAATCATATGAAAGTGATGAAATTACTTAACAGATCAATGGCTTTTCTTTGAGGCCCAATTTTGCATTATTCATCTGCTTTCCACTGTTTGAGGTAAACAAATGGGATTCTCTGGAGCTCCCTCATGACATTGTCTTTCCCAATCTTTGCCGAAATGTAGATGAAGCCATCATGATTTGAGACCCACTTTCCTACCAATTCTTTGACTGGGTGAGAAACTGGTTAAGTTCAGCAATGATTGTGATGACGGATCAGCAAGGCTGCTATGGTGGTGGATTTTTTACTTTTAATAGAGATGGCAGTGTTGGTGGTGCCGATAGTGAAGTGGGTAGCTTGTAGGGATGGATTGGGTCCGGGTGGCCCGACTTGGGACCGGCACTGTTAGTACCGGTACCGCCCTGGTACCTGGACAGTGGTATGAAAAATTGAAAAGGGTCGAGCTAAAGCTTGAATTTTTGGACCGGACCCAACCACCGGTCCTTGGCCCAACAATTACTATTTTAAATAAAATATTGGTTAAAGGGCGGGTCCATGCACGGGACCGACCCGGGACTAGTATTGTTTGGACCTAGACTGAAATCAGTACCAGAACAAACCGGGTTGGTATCAAGCTTCAACTATTTAAAACCGGAATCGGCAGGCCCGGGCCCAACCTAGTTCCATGCCTAGTAGCCTCTACAATGGTATTACTAGGGATGGACCGCAACCAGGCCGACTGGCTCGTGAACCGGCCGGCCCGGCACTATTTGGAATCGGCCCGGCCCGCCAATTGGGCATTGGACCGGTCCAGGCCGACCCGAACCGGGTGTTACCTAGAGCGGGCCTGGGTCATGTAAAATAGGAACCGACCCGTGGACCTGGTTTCGGACCCGGTTCAGACCCTTTTTTTTGAATTTTTTCTGTTTTTCCCAGGTTTGGCTGGGTGTTTTGGGGTCGGGGGTCGGGGTTAATTAGAATAAAAGAAAAAAATCCGGGCATCACTTCCCCAAAAAAAGCCCTGTCAGGCCCGGACCGGGACCGGAACCGGTCCAACCCTAGGCATTACTCATAGACGGGTAGCTAACTTTCTTGGAGAGGACAAAGCTAGGGCTTTGTAACTTTGTTTGATTTAGTGATCAAATAATTCCCATACCAATCAAGTATCAACTATCAAGTATAGTCTTCAATAGCGGGTCTAAAAACGTTTATTCATAAACAAGATATACACTGAGAAGAAAAGAACTGATATGAATCAGGATATTTGTAACAAATCCAGACTGGTGACGAGAGACAACTGCTTACCCACGCAGAATTTAAGCACTCAGATTAAAATTTATAGGAAAAAGCATCAGCGGTCGCATATCATGAGATGACCGCTTATCATGAGAACAAGATCTCAATCTCAATTTGAATCTCAACTTGAATGAGAACTATGACATTCTAGGGGTGGGTTTTGATGCATTTTGGGACAGTGTTTTACTATTATCGCTTGTATCTTTTTTTTTTTTCCTTCTACACCGCCCTTGTTATTTTGTACTTCCTCTGCAACTTTGTTTAATAAAAATTGCTTTAAAAAAAACAAAAGAAAAGAACTTATATGAAAATAAGCCGCTCTCTTTTTATCCTAGAGTACACTCTTAAACACTTTTTGGCATCAACACAGAGTCCAATCTAAATTAATTTAAAATAATCAAGCGACTGGAGAAAATGAGTAAAAACAATAACGCTTTTATTATTATAAAATAATAATAACAGTAATGATAAAAAATAATAATTATAATATTAATTTTAATTTTACCAAAACCAATGATGATGATGAATATTTACATGCTTGCGAGAAGCTATGAAAAAGTATGCATTTGCTTGGCATTTTGTTTCTCAAAAGCAACTAAGGCGATGCAGATGATTCGACTCTTTCTGCCATATGTTCCTCAAGGAGGGATGTTGTGCTTGACTGTTCTTCACTATCTTCATAGAATCTGTCCACACCATGAACAAAAATCCCTGCAAATTTCAAAAATTTAGAAACTTATACTGCGTATTTATTAGTGTCAAAATTAACTGTCGACACTTAGTTAAGACAACACATGTTCATGTACAAAAGTATGAAAAAAGGGAGTACTAACCTATAAACCATATTCCAGCTGCTAGAAACAGAACAGACGTCAAAACCAAAGCACTAATCCTCCAATTGTTTACATGATCCTGCATAAAGTAACATAACATCGATCACTAACTCGCTATCAAGAACCTTGGAAATGACTCTACCCAACAAGCTCTTGATTGTACAAGGAAATAGCACAAACCTGGAGAACCCCAACAAGAGGAGATGAAGGAACATCTCCAAATATGTGAATTGATACAGTAGATATAGCCATGGACAATGGCCTCAAATTTGGCTTCACACTATGTAGACACACATAATTCACCGGCCCCTAAATTATTAGGAAATATGTGTCAATCATACAGTCTCTGTTTATTAAAGAATTAATGTGACTCTCCAAATTGCCCCCTTAACTTTTCAAGCTGCCCTTTTTCTTAGTAGGCTATAAGTGAAGAAGTTTTCATGTGGACTGATACATTGATCACAGAAACCGAACCATAGAAAGAAAGAAAAGCGTATTCAAAAGCATTAGGCTGAGTGGCAAATTGGAAAGTTTTACCTGAGTGGCAAACACTAGCAGTTCTCCAATTGCAAAGAGAGCTATGAAAGCATATAAGCTTTTAAAGCAAAAGGCAGCAAAGCAAAATATTGCCCCAAAAAACGTTGCTACAGAGAGAAGCTGCAACAATGCAATACTTCGTAAGCATATGTGAATTTGGCATTTATAACTATGCAGCAAAGACAAAAGAAGTTATTTCCCTTTATCATAGTCTTTCCACTTTAGTTCACTGTCTATTGTGAGAGTGACGAGTTTGGCACGTTTTAGTATTTTCTTTATATTTTCCCACTAATAGTCATCTGACTATAGTGTCAAATAACTTTTGGCACCTGGTCTTGAATTATTATACTTTTGGCTCTTCGACTACACTTGATAAGTTGGTCCTCCGATTGTTGTGGCAAAAATTGAATGTCTAGCATAAAAATGACTATATCATGATAAAGAGAAGGGACTAAAGATAACAAACAAAGATCCTGAAAGTGAATTGTGAGTAGCTAGAGAACTAAATGGAATACTTCAAAGAGTTACCACAAATGTCATTGCCACAATAGTCCGAGTACTAAAAATGGGCCAAACTCACTCACATATTATTAAAACATGACAAAATTCAGAATTTCAGATGCACAGTGAATAAATGAAAATTGCAAAAATGAATGGCAAGAAAAACTACCTTGAAGGCATTGGGTAGTGTGGCAGTCATGAGATCCAAAACAAAGCCACCAGCTAGTGTTCCAAATATTCCACAAACAACTGTAATGCCTCCAAACAGCAAGTCCGCGTTGCTCTACAGTACATTGAAATGAGAACCACATATACACAAGCTCTAATCTCACACTTCTTTAGTGTACAGTTCACCAACTCACCATTTGATATATGTTGTAACCAGCCTTTGGTCCCCAATAGGAGTATGCGCCTATCACAAAATTATATGCTATATATCCTGAAAAGGAATTCAGAGCGAAGAACAATTGCATAAGTTCATTTCATATCATTTTCATTTACCCCAGTGCCGCAAAGGCTCCCACCTACGGTGGGGTAAGGGGGGGGGGGGTCGGATGTACACAGTCTTACCCCTGTACAAGTACAGAGAGACTGTTTTTGGATGACCCATAGTGAAAATCGCGTCCAAAATTGCATGAACTGACTGTTGCTTCATAGCAAAGAAGCACAACAGTTTAGTGAGCCATTTTGCTTTATTCCATCATATTCTCAAGCCAAAAAATAATGAATCTTTGGCTCCATAGCAAATGATGGATAAGTTGCTTCAGAAAAATAAATTTGTGATAAATACATTGAAGTGATTCCCAATATCACATCTAGATTGCCAGTCAATGAATAAAAACAAAAGAGAGCATGGTTACATGGGGATCAAAACTTCAAATTACAAATAAAGTACTCCTGATTATATCTACTAGTCATTGCAAAGGGTGCCGGATCAGTAATTATAGTTGCAAGGGTCAAAAGTGTACCTAGAACATTGACAACATAAATCTTTTCACCCAAAAGAGATCCCATATCTTTCAAAACTCTCCTGAAATGACCTGCATTACTACCAACACCTTTTGACCTACATTCAAAAAAAATATGTAAAATTATAAATCATAAATGATAGTGTCATAGTGGTCATGTAGTTTTCTTTAATCAAGAATATGCTCTATTAGGTCAGGAAAACTCAATACCTGAAAGCTTTAGAGGCATCATCAATGGAACCATCTTTACCAGTTGAAGTAACTGCATTTGATACAAATTTCGAAGTCAAAGAAAGATTGTCACCATACAAACAAAAACAAACATTATAAGTATGTATGCTTTTATTCCAATAATAATGTAAAAAAATAAAAAACTGGTTTTGTCTGAAACAAGAGTAAATAAAGGCATATCTACACCAACAAACTCTTGTGCATATGAATATTGGTTTGTAGTACCTTCTTCTCTTAAGCATGCAGTTTTTGCAGAAGTCAGCACATTTTCTGAGCCCGTGGGAGAGAACCCTGTAAAACCAAATATAGGCAACAATAGCGGGAGAATGCAAAAAAGGATCGGAGCAAAGGAGTGACTGAATGAACCTTTCAATTGTAATGGTTTCATGAGGAAACCTAAAATAGCAAAGGGAAGCATTAATACTGCTTCAATCCAAAAGGCCCAATGCCATGTGAGATATGTTCCGACCTGTAACAAGAAAAAGAGTGACAATTTCAGATAGTGCTTTTATTAAGACATTTAAATAAATAAAAAAGAACGATAGGCAATTCCCGGGAGGATTTTAAAGTCAGTAACAGAAAATAGCATGCGTACCAGTCCACCATAGACATAGCCAAAGGCAACCCCCGTTGGAATACACATGTAAAACACTCCAAGCCATGCTGATTTCTGATACAAGTAAAACATCA